ATCTGTACATGCAAGTTTATATCCACACAAAAAAGTTATTCTCATCTTTATCAGAGAACCGTGAATCACGAAGTCAAATCATTCTTGCCTGCTAGGTTGTTCGATAATAGTAATACGTTCAATCTAGGAATGGTTATTGAGCAGCATGACATATGGCGGTTTCTCATTCTACTGACTAAATTGTCTTTTCTTCAGAATAGAACTAAATCTATAAAAGTGAATGTAAGTTATTAATTTTCTGTAATTAGAAATCATCTCTCTCTCTGTATATATATGTACATTCTGCGTTATTTTATATCATACAAATAAATTAGTGAGTGTAGCGTATATCCGCAAAGCAGAGTATGATGTCTGTATAGGTTTATCAACAACTGACTCATATTTGAACGTTTGAAACTAGGGTGTGGGTGTGGGTGTGGGTGTGGGTGTGAGAGTACCTGATTCATACTCACCCAAACGCCCAAACCCACACCCACACCCACACTAACACCCACACCCACACCCACACCCACACCCACACCCACACTCACACCCTTGTTAGAATTAGAATATCCGACAGTTGTAATACATTTAATCGACAAAGCAACAAGTTTATAGTTATATTCACTATGGTTTAGATTTATTCTATTTTCATCAGTATTCACTACTAATCTTATAGTTTTTCTTTTCACTTTTCTGCTACCATCTGTTCACTCAAAGTCCAAAGCTGTTCAGCTGCCTTCAAATCTGCTGCATGTGGTGCTCTACCCACAAATTCTGTTTTGTTTTCATTCACTATTCCAGTAATAGCACAATCTTCCAGATATTCTCCATCGGAACCATCAAGTTCAGGTGCCAAAGCGGCATATACACTGGTTGATGCTCCTTGTTCAACAGTTTTAAAATAATCAGCTAGTGTACCATCTTCTTTGAAATATCCCATTGCTCGTTGCTCTTCAATTGGTAGAACATTTTGTAGATTGGTCATAATAGCACCTGGATTTAAAGCGAACGCTTGGATTCCTTCTGACTTATACAGCTTATTTAACTGCATGGCAAATAAAATATTAGCAGTTTTACTCTGACTATAAGCCAACCATTTGTCATAGTTTTTATCCCAGTTGATATCATTGAAATTAATACCTTGAAATTTGTTGAGTACTGAACTAACTATGACAACTCGTGCTGGTTTGCCTGCTTTGAGTTCAGGCAATAGAGAAGTAACAAGAAGAAAATGAGCAAGATGATTAACACCAAATTGTGATTCAAATCCATCTTTTGTCTTCGAATATGGATATGCCATGATGCCAGCATTACCTATAAAACAAAAAATATTTGTTCAATCAATTGCTGTGTTTCTGTGATGTGAACTTACATATCAGAATATTAATTGGTAATTTACGTGCTCGAAACTGTTTGACACAGTTTCGAACAGACTGTAACGAAGTAAGGTCAACCTCCAACACATCGATTTGATTATTACCTGTCTCTTTCTTAATGTTTTCGACTACTTGCGCTCCTCGATTCATGTCTCTCGCAGTAATAAACACATGAGCATTGGCAGTTGCTAATGCTCGAGCTGTTTCAACACCAATGCCTTAAAGTATAAGAAATATTTTGTCGAAATCATGTTTCATCAATTAAGTTTACCAGATGTTGCTCCGGTGATAAAAACCACTTTGCCAGCAAGATTTATATTAAGAGCTTTGACGACTTCAAGTGCCGTCGTTTTTTCACCAAAGTTTGCTGCTGTCATACCCACGGAGAAAAGAAATGTGTGTTAAAAGCGATGATATTTGTTGATATCACGTTATCTATTGTAACTCTATGTCTTTTGTTTTTGCTTTCGTCTCTTTTTCTTTTTCTGTTCTTTATCATTAGACCGCGCTTCTAACGGTTATATACACCAGTGCAGTAATCGACTTGATGTTTGCCTTTTTGTTTCTTTTCCCCTTTCGATATAATGTCTTCTGAGCCGTTGCAATGCTCTGGTCGTTATCATTTTCTAAATGCTATTTTTTTGATTATTTTGTATTTACTTCTCATTCCTTTGGTCACGTTTAAATTAGTCATTCAACAGATAAAATAAAGAAATAGCATGAGTGTATATGACTTTAAATTGTGGTTATATAAATGCACGTTTTGATTTGATATCGTTGTAGACGCTTTTTCGTTGTGTCCTCCTACGATTCGTCGTTTAAGTTAAACTATTCTAATATAATGTTTACATATTTAGGATTATGTGCTAAATTTCAGACTTTTTCGTGTGAATATTAGCATTTATTATCAGCATCAAACCAATACCAAAACAGGCTTTCACAAGGAGTACGGGTGTGAACTGTGTGGATACAAACTGTATTTTGTTCGGACTAGAATTCAGGTCTATACACGCACACCTACCCTTCAAATAGTTTTGTGGTGCTGCCAACGGAAGACGTAAAAAGGCAAACATATTTTCATGACGTTGCGAAACTTTCAGTGTGCGTCATATTTTTATGTTGACGATGACGATGATTTTGTTATTCTTCGGACGAAATTGCAAAACGCTTCTTTCATTCTTTTTTTCTTTCTTTATACTAACACATACAGTATATAAACTCTGTATTTATCTCACTCTGTGTCATAAAACTTACGAATCGAACATAATCTATATTAGGATGTGGATGTGGGTGTGAGTGTTTCTTTGGTTCATTCACACACACACACCTACACCTACACCCACACTCACACCCTTTTCGTTGTTCCCATCCTAAGATACAGTTATCATAAAATTGCTCATATACACCAGAAGATCCGATGTCCTTATTTCAGACTAGGAGCAATCAAAAACTCTGAAACCTTCACAATAAACAATTCTCATTGAGGCATATCTACATGCAACGTTTCAGGTGGAAACTCAAAACTCATTTTTCTTGATGTTCCCGAGGGAGACCACGGCTTTTTCTGAAACATATAGTAAAAATGCTAAGAAGCTAGCGGCACGAACTTTTTTCAGAGAATTCATAGATCATTAGGATTTGCATGACGTCCATACGATCGACTCAAAAGTTATGTGATAATTGGGAACATTCTCTCGTAAATCAATTTAACAATGTTACGAATGACATCGATAATACAATTTTTAAATGAAATAAAATAAAATCAATAGCGTGAGCATGACTTGACCTTTTTATCAACTTTCATTAAACTCGTGCACTTTTTTTTGATCAAAATAATTTATGGCAACTTTTTCTTTTCGAATTAAAAATCCTTTTGGAATGTTGATTATTCTCAAAATCCGATGACATTAGAATTTTAAAATTGTTACACAATGATTAGTTTTCTTTATTTATTCTAAACTATTTTTTATTGATAAACATGCATACAACCACCATAAATATAACTTCGAATCTACTAATTTTAATATATAGTTATTAAGTAATTTTTCGGATCGAATCAGTGATTTCAATTGCATAGCCCAATACGTTGTTGCTTTTAAAAAACCCAATGAGCAAAAATGAAGAGTATGACAATGATATTTGTTCAATAATAATCGAAGATCCAATTCTAAGTCATCTATAGTCGTATTAATTACAATATGTTGTAGATGCTGACATGAATTAATTAACAATTGATTTACTTCTAATTTCAATGATCCTATAATGGTTATATCGGCTATAGTATTCATATTGGATAACAATTGTA